ACCTTCAATTGACCTTCAATTGATCTTCAATTGACCTTCAATTGACCTTCAATNAAAGTACTTCTCAAGCCTGCTTACAGTAATGTTAATGTCTTCATGGTTCCCATTGTGACTATTAATCTGTAGTCATGTGACTTCAGAGATGGAGACAAGAAGCCACAGTGTGGATTTGCAAGTTTTCTTATCTAGATTTTTTATAGCTTCTTTGCTTTATTCTTTTTAATGCATTTTCCCATTTATGGAAAAAAGGTGCTACGGTATTGTGCTAGTCATGTCCGTTATCCATCTGTCCACCCAGGCATGGAATATATCTACTTGGCAAGCCGCTACTGGATTTTTTGAGCCGTGGCTTCATGGGTTTGCCAGCCATAATTCCATTTCTTTGAGCCGTGAATTCCATCGTGAATTCCATATCTCTGCCATGAAAAGCCATTTACAAGCCGCAAACTTTTTCACTAATAAAGTCCCATGCACAAGTTACCCCACATCTCTAATTTTACCCTTAAAACTGTCACTAGCATTTGTCTTCACTTAAACGGCAACTGAACAAGTGATAATGCAGTCAGACTGCTCTGACACTGTCTCTTATACACATCTAGATGTGTATAAGAGACAGCTTCCAACCCCTTCCAACCCTAGAACCTTTCCAACCCTTTCAATCACTTTCAACCATAGAACCTTTCCAACTATAGAACCTCAACCTCAGAAATGGAAACCTAAGTTGAACTAATGGTTTAGTGATAAATCTTTTAGTTTTATTAGGAACTTTGTGCTCGATAGTTATACTTTTCGATAGCTGAAAAGAATAAATGAAAAAGCCCATGAAAACGAATTTCAAAAGTCTACGTGATACGAGTACATCTTCTGCACAGTTCAATGTTTTTAAACAATAACTAATTTAGAAAAAATATAAATGGAAAAGATATAAATTGATTTCAGGTTATCAGGCTTCCAAGTTAAAAATCAAAATGAAGCAATTCAGGCTTAAAGTAAGAAATTAAAGTTAATTGTTACTGTATTTGCATGATAATTCAAATGATGTTATAAAAGCTTTTACAAAAGCTCTGTAATTTTGTGGAACGCTACGAATGATTGTCATATGTTATTAAAACATTTATCAATCTGGCCTGATTCCATGGATCCTATTGTATTGAATATTTTCCTTAAATACAAATATATAATATTATTGGATAAAAGTGTTTCTATCACTAGGGTTCCTTCACTTAAATTGACCTATAATATAGAGAAAAGAAAATAACTAAATTCACTTTAATTGAAAACGTGCGTGGATTTTTTTCGTTTTATAAGCTAATTTCTTAGATATATGCAAGAAAATTCTGGTAATTTTTAGTTTGAAATTTTCTTTATGATATATTCAATTTCTTCTATAAAGTCTATTGTTACGTCATGAAGTTTAGCAAGTTTTTATAATAAATGCATTTTTTGGGGCCTCCGAAAACACCATGCTATCCATACTAAAATATGTACCGATTATTGATACGCATGAAAATGTAGTTTCCAATTCTGCAAGGTAAATTAAATAAATCTATCATAAATTCGTATGATAAGATATGTCGTTATTTTATTCTCTGATATTCCGTAACTTCGGACGGCATTTGTTATTGCTTCGTATCCGGACTCCAACCTTTGTTGTTTTTGGTTGATGTTTATTTTGTCGCATCTTTATTTACTTTGTTCTCTCTTGTACCTCCCATTAACAGGGAGGATATATTAATTATTACAAGAAGATTTTACTTTTTCTGAGTCGACAGCAAAGTGAGCTTAATTTTTCACGCGGTATATCTTAATAATTGAATCCATACGTGCCAGCCTTAGCATTTTTTCAGCCATCCAAATTGAAATTCAGTACTGATACCTCTGATCAAGACAGGGCTGTCAACCTGTTATGGTATTACATATGGCAAGTCAAATGCATAAAGAGTATGAGAAAGTACTGTCAATGACTTAGCTACTAGTTGGCACTCAGTCTAGCAGATACAGTGAGTTGTGAGATACTGCTCTCAACAGTCTCAAGTACAAGTTCAAGCATGGAAAACTTCTAACCTTAGGGCTGTGACTAGAGTTTTTCAACCATTTCTGGAACTGCAAGATTTCCGCAGATGAATTGCCTTTTATATAATTGTTAACAAAATTGACGATTGGACCGCAAGATTCCAAATGTATAAAAAATTTATCACATTGAAGCCACGACATTCCAGAAAGAAGTAGGAAAATTCTAATCCTGCTCAAGTTCAACTCATTACTTGTCAAGTTGTCAATAAAATTTAATTATTTAGGCTTTCTTCTGGATTTTCAATTTCAGATATAGCATTGAATATTGCTTGTAAAATGATATATCAATATTTGTATAAAGGCTGAGCCACTATGTATTAAATTTAAATTTTTTTAACTTGTACAATTTGCAACATAAATAATGAAAATTAGAATTTATTATGTAAATAGATAAAAATAAGTTCATTTGAGTTGAAAATTAATTCATTTATGTTTTTTCTTTTAAGCGCATTTATGTTTGTTGCTGTTATAACAGCTGCATCATGCATGTTGAATATATTTACTTCCTGGACCATAACTCGAGTTTTCCAACCATTTTTTATCTTCAAGATTTCTGCTCGATGCCACTGTGCAGAGAGTGGATGAATATTGCAAGATCTTTGGCGACGCTTCAGTAGCAAAATTCATGCCTTCAGAAGATCTTGCCAACATATTTAGATTGAAATTCTTGCATTTAATATATTTGTCAGTCTTCGGCCAACTATTTAAAAAAAGAAGGTTTCCAGTATGTTGGATGGATCAGGATGCAGTGAAGCTTGTCTGGAAATCAGTTGCGATGAGTTCCCACCAAAAAAATGTAAACATCAAGTTTACGATTACATAGTTGCGGTCACATTAGAGTGGTCAGACTGCATTGTCACATGTTCAGTTGACACTTGCTGTACAATTGGACTGTTTTTAGGGTAAAAGTAGTTATTTGGGGTAACACATGCATGCAACCTTGTAAATAAGTTCGTGGCTTGTAAATAGTTTTTCATTACTCAGCGTAAATGGCATTTCATCAAAAATTACCCAGCCACGCATCTTAAAATTTCCCGGCGACACTTAGGGCTTAAAACCCATATATTGGCAACGCTGCATCCACCCTCTGCACCCTGGGCTAGATGAATTATAGCTTTTCTAATTATTGATAAAACTTATCAATTGAGTGGCAATTTAAAAAAATATAATTCAGTACTTGCTGCAATGTGTGACGGAGAGCACATTTTCTCATTGATAAAAACATGAAGTCATGGACAGAGTCAGACAGACATGACGAGCACTATAGTGCCTTTTTTTTCATAAATGAGAAAATGCGCTAAAAATGCAATTTAGAGCTACGTAAAATTTAACAATTGAGTGGCAATTTAAAAAATATTTGATTAGGAGCCACAATATTTCAGTGAAAATCTTGAAATCTTTCCCACCTAAAAAGAAGCCAAATTGACCTGTGCAATGGTAGATTATATCATAGTTTTATCACCAGGATTATTTTACATGCACTTTTTTTACACAAAATTGTTCAAAAATTTGTCATGCCTTGAATTATTTCTTTTATAGTACACCAAAGTACTTCTCAAGCCTGCTTACAGTAATGTTAATGTCTTCATGGTTCCCATTGTGACTATTAATCTGTAGTCATGTGACTTCAGAGATGGAGACAAGAAGCCACAGTGTGGATTTGCAAGTTTTCTTATCTAGATTTTTTATAGCTTCTTTGCTTTATTCTTTTTAATGCATTTTCCCATTTATGGAAAAAAGGTGCTACGGTATTGTGCTAGTCATGTCCGTTATCCATCTGTCCACCCAGGCATGGAATATATCTACTTGGCAAGCCGCTACTGGATTTTTTGAGCCGTGGCTTCATGGGTTTGCCAGCCATAATTCCATTTCTTTGAGCCGTGAATTCCATCGTGAATTCCATATCTCTGCCATGAAAAGCCATTTACAAGCCGCAAACTTTTTCACTAATAAAGTCCCATGCACAAGTTACCCCACATCTCTAATTTTACCCTTAAAACTGTCACTAGCATTTGTCTTCACTTAAACGGCAACTGAACAAGTGATAATGCAGTCAGACTGCTCTGACATGAGTTATGAAAGTAACTAAGCAATCTTCAAAGTTTGGGTTGACTTGTTATTACGTTTTGCATGTTATTTTGGCAGAAGGCGGGACTGGGGGGAGCATTGAAGTAGGGCTGCAATACTGCGGATTGCAGAAGTTGAACATTTTATAAAACAACTTGGTTGCGAAGTGCAAACTGCAATTTTTTCAATCAAACAAAAATTTATGACATTAGATCCGCAAGATTTCATAACAACTGAAATTATGTATGATATTAAAGCCACGATATTTCAGGAAAAAATAGGACTTTTCCAGCCCTGCGTCCATCCGTGACTTCATGTTTTTGTTGACGAGAAAATGCGCTCTTTGTCACTCACTGCAGTGAGTACTGAGTTATATTTTTTTATATTTTCAAATTAGAGGTCCCAACCTGCTGGTTAAGAATTTCTAAAAGTTATTTTTAAAAATTGTTTTTTGGGGGTAAAATGTTTGAAGTCGTAAGTATTAAATTTGAATATTGATAAAATTATATTATTTTCAAAGCAGCTGTTGTGATAATCTTATTATATTTGTAGACAAGATGGAGGCCAAGCTTTAAGCTTTGTTCTTGCAAATTGTTTGACATTGAGATGGTTAAAAGCAAGAAAAAGTACCTAATTGGGTCATGTACAAACAATTTATTTAATGATGGTCATACATTCAATGTTTCTCTTTTCAAGACAAGGTGCAAATATGGTAATTGAGTACTTGCCTTAAGTTGCCTTTCTTTACCTGCAGGCAACTTTATTAAGATAGCATAACATTTAATATTTCATTCCTTATGGCTAGAAGCAAATAATTAGTTCTCAAAAAAATATTTTTTTCCAGATGGCATGACTTTCAATATTTTTCTGCTCATTCATCTGCTAGAGAATAATTAAAGTTGAAGTAAGATGGATCCAAGCAAGCCAATTTCTCCACATACCAACAATGGCACGAGTCATCAAGAATCTCTTTCTTTTCTTGCCAACGTTGCCACAAGTCACCAGTTCAGCGGGTTAGGTTTCCCGAGCCCCCAGGCATCAGATGTGCATAATGTCATATCTTCCTCCCTGAATATCAGTTTGAACAACAGTAAACTGGCTTACTCAAACCCCATGCACACCAACCATGTGTCAATGGTTTCACCCGATGTCGGAGACAACATTAATGCCAGCGTTCCTACTCAGAGCAATGTTGTATTTGCTACTCAGAGTATTCCAGTTTCTTCAACACAGAACATGTCAGTTTTCAGAGGTGTTCCCATGATTCCATATTCTCAAGTTACATCATCTCTTCATCCTTCTCTTGTTCCATCAACTTCCACAATAACAACTTTAACTAACAAATCTAAAACTGATCTAAATCCTTACTCCACTTCACTGAGTTTGTCATCTGCTGCTCCTTCACTTTCAAACTCTTTGCCTTTCCATGGAGTTTATTCAGGTCAACATACATCTGCTCTACAAGCTCCTGGTCACCAGAATTTTATTTTACAGCAACCACAATTTGATGGCATAACACAAAACACTGGTATGATTCAAAACCATAACACCCGACTTCACCACAACAACCAAATTCATCTACAGCAACAACAACAATCACCTATTTTATTACCACAACACCAAAACCAAGTCATGACATCATTGCACCAGCAGCAAATTACACAATCTCTTTCTCTGCCTCAACATCATCAACAGGCTACTCAGTGTCCTGTTTGGCCCAACACTCCTGTTTCCCTTGCCACTGTTGATAGTTGCCTGCCTCTGTCCGCTGCTAATTCCATGGTAAACAACAGTCCTGTTACTACACCTGTTGTTTGCTCTGTTGCTGTTACACATTCTGATAAAAGTAGTGGATTCTGCTCAGCCAAATCAACTTCTATGAGCACCTCTGATGCCAACCAATGCTCTGAAGTCTTCAACACCATCAGGGAGGCCTTGTCTGTGGCCCACAACAACCTAGATGCCGCAAGCACCACCAGCATCTACCCTGATGACTCATCTTATTTGGTGAGACACACCAAAATGACGTAATGAAGCAATTTGTATTAGCGTGTAATATAATATATTTAGTAATTTTTGGTTTCCATTATTACATTGAAAATTATTTCATTCATTTAACTTTTTTAAGTGATTGTCAAAAGAAATTTTATAGTTCTATTATAGTGTTCATTGAATTAGTTATAGTTTTTCATTCAACCATTTAACTTTTTTTAGTGAATGTGCCAAGGGAAATTTTCCATGCTTATAGTTTTTCATTGAACTTAAACAATCTTGCATGCTGGATGATATTATCTCTAAATAATCATGTACAATTGTTCAAAAACTGAAACATTATCTCAATACTTGATTTTTCAGGTGCCCTCATCAAACTCTTCCAGTAATTTAGCAGAAGCTCCTGGCAATCAGTTGTCATCCTTCACCTTCCTGACGACAAGCCCTTACCAGCTGACCTGCCGACACTGTAACTTCTCGACAGATTTCCACCTTGTGTTCACACGACACATGGCTTGTCACTACGCAGACAAAGGATACGAGTGTCCATTATGTTCCATTGTTTGCAACAGTGAACAGGAATTGAAACAACATGTCAACCTGCAACACTTGAATAACAGACCAATTTGTGATGGAAAACTTGATGCAAAAGAGCCCAGTGTTGCAAATGAAACACAAAAGACTGGTGGTAACATGGATGTTTCAAGCTCATATTGTGTAGAGAAAGAAGATGCAACCAAATGGGCTGGTGAACAAAATAATATCAAAATTAAACCTAAGCTTCCCAAGAAACAGACAAAATCTCTAAATAAAAAATGCTTGGACAAGAAATTAACAAATAAAATGAATGAAACTGGCACAAAAACTCTAAGAAAGAGTCAGAAAAAGAACAAAAATAGTTTGAAAAATTCAAATTCTGGGAAGAAAACTTTTAACAAATTCTCAAAGGAACCATTATCTCAATGTCTTGGTGATAAATTGATGAACAAGAAGCTGCCAGATGATGCTCAATATGAAGATACCATATATCGCCCAATTGATCCCATTGCAACTACTAACAAAAGTTTATCATATGTTGATTTTTATAAACGGCAATCTTTCATGTCAATCAACAACAACACCAGCAATGTTTCTTCTAATAATTCCTTCATGCATACACAGAATGGAAATTTTGATCAAGATGTAAACACAAATTTCAGGAATGTTCAATGTCAAAACATCACATCCATGACTCTACCCAACATGTCTTCTCGAACATCAAACATGTTGGACCAAACATCTCTGAATAATTTAATGGCAAGCCATGCAACAAACTCATCTAATCCTACAGCCACAAACTTGATGCCAACTACAAACACCGGCGGTGACAAGCAGGACGGCTTTTGCCCATATCCCTTGGAACATTTGGCAGCTCAAAACAATTATCTTTGTAATGAAGTTTCTGGGACTTACAATTACCAATCTGAACCTTTACCTCTCATTGTTGCTGGTAAAAGCAATACACAAGTTGACTCGAGAAACTTGCAAGGCAATTCTTTTAATCTAAGTAACCAAGCAACATATTTTGGCAACCAACCCGTCTACGAAAATCCTAATGGTGCTGAAAAATCTTCCATTTCTGAACACATAACCGTCAAAATTGATCCATTTGACTTTGCTCCGAGCATGACACAAAAACAAGAGCGGCAACCCTCAGCTGCATCCTATAGGATGGTCAACAGGGATCAAAACGTGAGTATGATGTTAGTTTATGGTTAAATAACCTCTTCAGCTGCAATATATTAATAATGGTTATTATTAATAATATTATATATTAATATTAATATATTGATATTGATATATTATTATTAATATATTAATAATACTAATAGGTCGTTTTCTATGTTTGATTTGTGTAAAAATACATTAATTTATCCTCAATAGCTTTCACTGTGAATTAAGGATGCTTGAAAGGAATTTTGGTTGTCTGCTAAGCTTTGCCTTTTTTAATATTTCCATAGGTATATGAAAAATTTCCTTATCTGAAAAAATTTTTTCCAGTAGATAGTTAATGTAACTTTTAATTGATATTTGGACTGTAACCAAAACTTTTTTTCTAATGCAAACATAGATTATGAGCACCCAAAGATGTGGCAATGCCAAATTAAGAGACCATATTTAACTAAATAAGTGATCTACAAATTACCTAAAAGTCTTCACATTGATAAACAATAATGAAAATTATTATTAGGCAGACAATATGTGTGATTATTAATGGAATTAATTTTTCCAGGTACAAAATTTGGAAAAAAACTCTTCTCGGCTTGCAAATGAAGAGTCTAAATATGAAGTGTCAAGAAATGTTGCCTCTAAAAAAGGTTCTTTAAAAGACAATTCTTATTCCCCAGAACCTAGTTCTTGTGCCATACGGAAACCATGTCATAAAAACCAGAACTTGACAAGCCATAAAAACAAAGACTGCAAGACACAGACTTCAAAATACAGTGTTAACTTCCCCATTACTAAGAAAGACAAGCGTAGAACCCGAGTGAAAAGTGTGAAAAAGCAAAAAAATCGAAATGGTTCTTACAGAAGTTCTGGGACATACATCAATAAACATTACGCTGGTTCTCAGAACTGCAGAGAACCTAGAGGAGAACCATGTACCATTGATGATATCATTGATAGAACCGTAGGGATGGGTAGGTTAAAAATGCTCACATTGCAGCCACCAAACTCTTGTGCAAACAATGAAGATATTCCTACAAACAAACCTAATGAAATTCATGTTCAAGTGAGAACTGATGAAAATAAGATGAGTGATCCAGCCAGGGTGAAAATTGAAGAAACTGCATCAACATTTCAGCATCAAGAAGTCACACTTTGCTCACATGATAATGGCTTTAATGGACAAGATTTTGGCAACCGCCAAACTGAGGACCCGAGAAGTTGTACAATTGTTAAAAATGAAACAAGTTCAAGCAACGATGCAAGTGAAATTATCAATGTTGGGTCTAATGGAGCCAGTGAGCTTAAAACTACAATGTCAGACCAAACTAATAACCTAAAAGTTGCAGGCTTAGACCAAACTAATAACAAAAAAACTGGAAGTTTAGATGCACCTAGTAGCCCTTCACTAAATAACCCTGCACCTAATAACCCTTGTAGTGCTAGGTTAGACCTCAGTCCCCTCACACCAGTCGGCGGGGGGGAGGCAAAGTGGATAACAAAAATATATAATTATTGATCTAATGTTGTCAGTTTTTCTTAACTGAACCTTTTAATAACTTATATACGATCTCAAATAATTGACTTTAATTGATTCACACTCATTTACTCTTATATGAAACCCTCCAGCATTGCATTATAATCTCAAATTATTGAACTTTTTTCAATTTTAACATTAATTATATAGTCAAATTAGCTGGACTATAGACCTCTTCTTCTATTACCTTCTAATCTGGGCGTTTAAGTGGAAGTAAACAGGTTAATTTCTTAACCAAATTACCAGCACTGGAATTTAAGTGGAAGTTAACAGGGTAATTTTTTAACCAAAAATTTTTGGTTAAAAATTTTTGGTTCCTGGAATTTGTAGAAATAGTCAATGGAGTCATATTGTATGCCAACATTTGGTCAATAACTCATGTTGAAATTCTAAACACATGCCATTGTCCATAGATTTTTTAACCCGTCGTGTTTAATTCAATTGATCGCGGTATTTCTTTCACAGGTTCCCGAGGAAGAAAGAAAAAGATTTGGGTGTAAATGAAGAGGCGAGAACGTGTCAAACTTCAACTAGAACCCCAACGTGAACCCTACCCATTCATCCCTAGAACTTTTCCAACCCTCTCAGCACTAGAACATTTCCAACCCTTTCAACCTCTTCCAACATTAGAACGTTTCCAACCCTTTCAACTCTAGAACCTTTCCAATCCCTTCAACCCAGGAACCTTCCAAACCCTTTCAACCACCTTTCAACCCTAGAACCTTTCCAACCCTTTCAACCCTAGAACCTTTCCAACCCTTTCAACCCTAGAACCTTTCCAACCTTTTCAACCCTAGAACCTTTCCAACCCTTTCAACCCTAGAACCTTTCCAACCCTTTCAACTCTAGAAAATTTCCAACCATTTCAACCCTAGAACCTTTCCATCACTTTCAACCATAGAACTTTTCAAACCCTTCCAACCCTAGAATCTTTCCAACCCTTTCAACCCTAGAACCTTTCCAACCCATCCAACCCCTTTCAACCCTAGAACCTTCACAACTCTTTCAACCAACTTTCAACCCTAGAACCTTTCCAACCCTTTCAACGCCCTTTCAACTCTAGAACCTTTCCAACCCTTCAACCCTTTCGACTCTAGAACCTTTCCAACCCTTTCAACCCTAGAACCTTTCCAACCCTTTCAACCCTAGAACCTTTCCAACCCTTTCAACCCTAGAACCTTTCCAACCCTTTCAACCCTAGAACCTTTCCAACCCTTTCAACCCTAGAACCTTTCCAACCCTTTCAACCCTAGAACCTTCCCAACCCTTTAAACCCTGGAACCTTTCCAACCCTTTCAACCCTAGAACCATTCCAACCCTTTCAACCCTAGAACCTTTTCAACCTTTTCAATCCCTTTTCAATCCTACAACCTTTCCAACCCTTTCAACCCTAGAACCTTTCCAACCCTTTCAAGGCTGTCAACCTGTTATGGTATTACATATGGCAAGTCAAATGCATAAAGAGTATGAGAAAGTACTGTCAATGACTTAGCTACTAGTTGGCACTCAGTCTAGCAGATACAGTGAGTTGTGTCTTGTGAGATACTGCTCTCATCTCTCAACAGTCTCAAGTACAAGTTCAAGCATGGAAAACTTCTAACCTTAGGCTTAGGGCCGTGATTGAGCTTTCCATAAATTTCCGGATCTGCAAGATTTCTGCCAGATGAATTGCCTCTTATATAATTGTTAAGAAAATTCACAATCGGACCACAAGATTCCAAATGTATCAGTAATTTGTCACATTGGAGCCGTGACATTTCAGAAACAAGTAGGAAAATTCTAATCCTGCTCAAGTTCAACTCATTACTTGTCAAGTTGTCAATAACATTTTATTATGTGGGCTTTCTTCTGGATTTAAATGTCAGATTTAGCATTGAATATTGCTTGTGATAAACTGAAAATAAAGTATCCATTTGGGTACAGGCTGAGCCACAAAGTATTAAATTTAAAATTTGATTTAACTTGTACAATTTGCAACATAAATGATGAAAATTTGAATTTATTATGTAAATAGATGAAAATAAATTTATTTGAGTTGAAAATTAATTCATTCTTGTTTATTATTTTAAGCACATTTTTGTTTGTTGCTGTTATAACAGCTGCATTATGCATGTTGAATATATTTACTTCCTGGACCATGACTCAAGTTTTCCAACCATTTTCTTAGCTTCAAGATTTCTGCTAGATGAATTTTAGCTTTTCTAATTATTAGTAAAACTTATCAATTGAGTGTCACTTTGAAAATAAATAACTCGGGACTTGCTGCAGAATGCACCTGCAGTGAGTGACATAGAGTACATTTTTTCATTGACAAAAATGTGAAGTCACAGATGGATGGACAGACAGACAGACAGACATAATAGCGGTTTTAGCGTTTAGTAGGCCGTAGGCCTGTCAACGATTCTTAACATCACAGAACATTCACAGCAGTTTGCGGTCTCAAACTTGAAACTTGCAACTCACTGCTACAATTCTGCTGTGCTTAACCGTTTGGCCTCCTTGCCAATTCTGACCAGAAACTGGCGCACAGAGCTGGGATCGAACCCGCGCTTCTCTGCGTCAATCATGGTACTCTGAACTGTAACCACTAGGCCACCCTGCCCTAGTGAACATGACAAGCTCACGAGCACAATAGCGCATTTTTTTCCATAATGAGAAAATGCATTAATGCTGCTAAAAAATGCAATTTAGAGCTAAGCCAAACTTAACAATTAAGTGGCACTTTAAAAAAATTTGATTTAGAGCCACAATATTTCGGCAAAAATCTCAAGTATTTCCACCCAAAATGAGCCAAATCTACCTGAGCCTTGTGGCCTATCATAATTTTATCATCAGGATCATTTTGCATGCACTTTTTTCAAACAAAATTGTTCAGAAAAAGTTGTGGCTTGAATTATTTCTTTTATAATACAGCAAAGTTCCTAATTCTCTAGCTGGCTTACAGGAATGTCTTTATGGTTGCCATAGCGACTATTAATCTGTAGTCATGTGACTTCAAAGATGGAGACAAGAAGCCACAGTGTGGATTTGCAAGTTTTGTTTTCTAGATGTTTTGTTGCTTCCAAGCTCTTTTATTTTTAGCGCATTTTCTCATTTATGGAAAAATGTGCTATTGTGCTCGTCATGTCCGTACATCTGTCTGTGACTTCCCATTTTTGTCTGTAAGAAAATGCTCTCTCATTCACTCACTGCAGTGATATATTTTATATTTTCAAATGTAAAATATATCATATACATATTTTTTCATATTTTCAAAGTAGAGGTCCCAACCTGCTGGTTAGGAACACTAAAATTCATTAATACAATTTATTTATTTTGTAGGGTGAAAAGTTAGTATTCCTATGTATTCAATTTTAATATTAATGAAATTATTCTATTTTCAAATGCAGTTGTTGTGATAATCTTATTATTTTTGAAATTGAGATGGAGGCCAATCTTTAAGCTTTGATCTTGCTGTTTAACATTAAAATGATTAAAAACAAGAGGA